CTCATAGGGATTCATGGTCTCCACTACTTTGATCATTTTAGGTGCCCTCCTCTGGACACCTTCCAGCTTGTCAATATCTTTTTTGAACTGTGGTGCCCAGAGTTGGACCCAGTATTCCAGGTGAGGTCTGACCAAAGCAGAATACAAAGGCGCCATTACTCCCCTCGATCCAGAGACTACACTCCTTTTGATCAATCCCCAAATCCCATTGGCTTTTTTTGCTGCTGCATCACACTGTTGGCTGTCCATGAAGACTCCAAGATCTTTGTGACATAGACTGTTGTCGAGCCAGGCGTCGCTCATTCTGTATCTTTGCATTTCATTTTTATTGCCTAAGTAAAGTTAGTAAATGTGTCACCGAAGGCTTTCATGGCTGGAATCACTGGGTTGTGAGTTTTCTGGGCTGTATGGCCATGTTCCAGGGCATTCTCTCCTGATGTTTCACCCCCATCTATGGCAGGCATCCTTAGAGGCGGCGAAGTCAATTGCAACATTCACACGTGCCTGAAACAGACGAATTCTTTCTCCTACCCTGGACATTCCACAGATACATAAACCTCACTTGTGTAGTTTCCAACAGACTTCACAACCTCTGAGGATGCCTGCCACAGATGTGGGCAAAACTTCAGGAGAGAATGCTTCTGGAACATGGCCATACAACCTTGAAAACTCACAGCAACACAATGTTAGTAAAGTTCTTAGAACTTAGTAAAGTTCATTTCGTAAGTTTTGACCCAGTTCTTGAATCTGTTGAGCTCATTTTAGATTACTAGCTATCCCTCCTAATTTGGTATCATTTGCCAACTTTTGATGGCTCCAGAAACATGAAATATTCAAGGGACAGACAACGGGGAAAAACACCCTTCTCTTTATGGAACTGAGGCTTCTCTTCTGTGTGCCTTCAAGTCTCTTGTTGATTTATAGCAACCCCATGCATTTTTTTCAAGGCAAGGAATACTCAGAAGTGTTTATTGCCAGTTCCTTTTTCTAAAATATAACATCCAACAGACGCCACAACCTCTGAGGATGCCTGCCATAGATGTGGGCAAAATGTAAGGAGAGAATGCTTCTGGAACATGGCCGTATAGCCTGGAAAACTCACAGCAACATAGTGATTCTGGCCATGAAAGCCTTCGACAGCACATAAAAGGTAAAAGGTTACCCCTGACATTAAGTCTTGTCGTGTCCGACTCTGGGGTATGGTGTTGGTGATGGTGCTCATCTCCATTTCTAAGAAGAAGAGCTGGTGTTGTCCGTAGACACCTCCAAATATTTTATTTATTTATTTCATGCATTTCTACACCACCCTTCTTGCCCTGAAGGGAGACTCAGGGTGGCCTCACACAAGTACCATACGATGCTATCACCATATAAACAATAAAAAATACATCAAAATACATTAAAACCATTAAAGAATAGATTAAACATGCCAGTTAAAACCAAATCCAAGTCTGGTTAATTCAATGTCGCAGGTATCTTAAGTCTTCTTTTCAGTTGCTGCTGTCTACTAATCGAACGCCTGGTCCCAAAGCCAAGTCTTCATTTTTCTTCTAAAAGACAGGAGGGAGGTGGCCAACCTGATGTCCCTGGAGAGAGAGTTCCACAGATGGGGGGCCACTGCCGAGAAGGCCCTGTCTCTCGTCCCCACCAACCACATTTGCAATGGTGGTGGGATCGAGAGCAGGGCCTCTCCTGAAGATCTTAAACTTTGTGATGGTTCGTAACAGGAGATACGCTCGGACAGGTAGTCTGGGCCAGAACCATTTAGGGCTCTGGCCCAGACTGCATGGAGCACCATTACCTTCCTGTCTGAAGGGAAAGTAATAATAAATAAATATTGATTATTTATCTATTTACAGTATTTATATTCCGCCCTTCTCACCCCGCAGGGGACTCAGGGCGGATTACAATGTACATATACATGGCAAACATTCAATGCCATAGACACAAAACATATATAGATAGACACAGACGCAACTTAACATTCCAACTTTTCATGAGGGTATTCTGGCTACCGGGGAGCTGTCGCTTCACTGTCCATTTGTGACACAAGTACTTCCTCATTCTTTGCAGGCTTGCTGGAGATTTTTATAGCATCATAAATTAGTCAAATTAGCCTTCCCACATAGGCGGTACCTTGATTTCCTTCTTGACAGATGAAACTGTCTTTCAGGCTGCAAAGGTCAACAGCAAGCTACACAAATTGGTCGGACACTTACTCTGACCCGGGCTGGCCTCGAACTCATGACCTTTTGGTCAGTAGTGATCTTAAGGCAGCTGACTCCTAGCCAGCTGTGCCACAGTCCCGGTGCTACTTACATTTCCATGTTTTTGAACTTATTTATCATGTCAGGGGCAGACCAAACATTTGCATTGCATTTCTTAACAAACAAACAAACAAACAAACAAAACACAAAGTTTGCAAGCTTGGTAGCTGATTAAATGTCCTTTGACCAATAGCTGGCCACTTGGAGCGCTTCTGGTGTTGCTGCAAGAAGGTCCTCCATTGTGCATGTGGCAGGGCTCAGGTTGCATTGCAGCAGGTGGTCAGTGGTTTGCTCCTCTCCACACTCGCATGTCGTGGATTCCACTTAAGGTTGGCTCTGCATCTCGTGGTGTCAGAGCACAGTCTGTTCAGCGCCTTCCAAGTCACCCAGTTTTCTGTGTGCCCAGGGGGAAGTCTCTCATTTGGTATCAGCATCTCGTGGTGTTTTCGGACTGCTAGGTTGGCAGATGAAACTGTGGCGCAGGAGACCCCGGTGGCGCAGTGGGTTAAAGCACTGAGCTGCTGAGCTTGTTGATCGAAAGGTCACAGGTTCGATTCCGGGGAGCGGCGTGAGCTTCCGCTGTCAGCCCTAGCTTCTGCCAACCTAGCAGTTCAAAAACATGCAAATGTGAGTAGATCAATAGGTACCGCTCCGGCGGGAAGGTAACGGCGCTCCATGCAGTCATGCCGGCCACATGACCTTGGAGGTGTCTACGGACAACGCTGGCTCTTCGGCTTAGAAATGGAGATGAGCACCACACTCCAGAGTCAGACATGACTGGACTTAATGTCAGGGGACTACCTTTACCTTTACCTTAGGTTGGCAGAAGCTGGGGCTAACAGCAGAAGCTTACCCCACTCCCTGGATTCGAACCACCAATGTTTCGGTCAGGAAGTCCTGCATCTCAGCAGCTTAAAAACCCGCTGCGCTACCAGACAACACACACAACACCTCGTTTGCTTCATAGACCTGTCCGCAGTTTATGATACTGTGAACCACTGCCTCCTCCTGAGAAAAATGTATAATATCACAAAAGGACTACCACCTCACCCGCCTCATAGGAAACCTGCTACAAAACAGGAGCTTTTTTGTTGAGTTCCAGGGCCAGAGAAGCAGATGGCGGAAACAGAAGAACGGCCTGCCTCAGGGGAGCGTGCTTGCTCCATCCATGTTCAACATCTACACAAATGACCAGCCACTGCCAGAAGGGACAGAGAGTTTCATCTATGCTGATGATCGTGCCATTACTGCTCAAGCAGGGAGCTTTGAGACTGTAGAACAGAAGCTCTCCGAAGCTCTAGGTGTTCTTACTGCCTACTACAGGGAAAACCAGCTGATCCCTAACCCATCTAAAACACAGACATGTGCCTTTCATCTCAAGAACAGAGAAGCATCCCGAGCTCTGAAGATCACCTGGGAAGGAATCCCACTGGAGCATTGCAGCGCACCCAAATACCTGGGAGTCACTCTGGACCGTGCTCTTACCTACAAGAAGCACTGCCTGAACATCAAGCAAAAAGTGGGTGCTAGAAACAATATCATACGAAAGCTGACTGGCACAACCTGGGGATCACAACCAGATACAGTGAAGACATCTGCCCTTGCGCTGTGCTACTCTGCTGCTGAGTATGCATGCCCAGTGTGGAACACATCTCACCACACTAAAACAGTGGATGTGGCTCTTAATGAGATATGCCGCATTATCACGGGGTGTCTGCGCCCTACACCACTGGAGAAATTACACTGCTTAGCCGGTATTGCACCACCTGACATCCGCCGGGAAGTAGCAGACAATAGTGAAAGGACCAAGGCAGAGACATCTCCAGCTCATCCCCTGTTTGGGTATCAGCCAGCACGCCAACGACTTAAATCAAGACATAGTTTTCTAAGATCTACAGAGACACTGTCTGGAACACCTCAGCAAGCGAGAGTCCAAAAGTGGCAGGCTCAAACCCAGAACCTCAATCAATGGCTGATACCAAATGAGAGACTCCCCCCTGGGCACACAGAAGACTGGGCGACTTGGAAGGCACTGAACAGACTGCGCTCTGGCACCACAAGATGCAGAGCCAACCTTCAGAAATGGGGCTACAAAGTGGAATCCTCGACATGCGAGTGTGGAGAAGAGCAAACTACAGACCACCTGCTGCAATGCACCCTGAGCCTTGCCACATGCACAATGGAGGACCTTCTTGCAGCAACACCGGAAGCACTCCAAGTGGCCAGATACTGGTCAAAGGACATTTAACCAACTACCAAACTCACAAGTTGTGTATTTTTCTGTTTGTTTGCTTTGTTCTGTTAGAAATGTAATATAATGGACTGGCTGCTCTGACACGACAAATAAATACCCTCCAAGTACTAACCAGAGCTGATCCAGCTTAGCTTCATGATCAGATGGGGATCTGGTGCCATTGGTGTATTTCCAATACAGTAAAATGAAGCAACATACAGTTTAAGCCTTTTAAAGCTTCCCTTGGGAGTCTCGGGCTGGCTTTTGGGAAGGGATGCTCGACGCTGCTCTTCCCAGAAACAAATGCCGCCAAGGCATGGGAACCCTGCCCCTGTTTAGCGTTCGAGGGCTCGGCGCTCGTCTTCAGCTGCCTGGCTTGCCCTTCTTCGCCTACTGAGGCGAGGGTGGGGCGCGCTCGGCGGTCGTCTGGCGCTGCCTGGCGTGTCTCAGGATGGCGCGCGCGCGCGCGGGTGCGGTCGCGCGCCCCCTCCCCTCCCCTACCCTCCCGTCCGCCCCTCGTTTCCATGGAGACGGCCGGGAGCTGGGCCGGCGCCTCTCGGGGCCTCGGCCCGGTTCGGCGGAAAGAAAGGTAGCGAAGAAGAAGGAGAAGACGAAGAAGGAGAAGAGGGGCCCTGGGAGCCGAGGGAGGAGCCAAAATAAAAAAAAAGTTTGATGATGGATGTCCTCTCTGTGTAAAAAAAAAAATGAATACACACAGACATCACCCATCAGTAGGGTAGGCCCCAAAAGCCTAGTTCAAGGGGAAAGATGAGGAGGAAGCGGCCCAAAGGGAAGGAGTGAGGTGGCTCTTGGCTTTCTCGTTACTGTTGTCCGCTCGACTCAGGTGCTCGCCTGTTATTTCTGTGTGCAGATAATTGGATGACCAGCGCCTGAGATGCCAGATGGCCTCCAATGGGGAAGATGCCATTGCTTGGTACCAGAAGAAGGTCAGTGTTGGGCTTGCTTTGGAAGAGGCTCACTCCACATCAGGCCTGGGCAAATTTGGGCCCTCCAGGCGTTTTGGACTTCAACTCCCACCATTCCCACCATTCATAGCCGCTTAAGCGGCTGAGGGGGAAAAGGAAAGGGCCTGAGCCTGTTAGGAATGGTGGGAGTTGAAGTCCAAAACCCTGGAGGGCCCAAGTTTCCCCAGGCCTGCTATAAACACCTGCCTTTCAATCTTTGTGGCTTCAATTCTGGGGTTGTTGTCTGAAAAAGGATATAGTAGACTCCCAGTTAACCCTGATTCATGGGGATCTATAGAATTGTACAATAATATGATCAGACAGGGCTGTGGCGCAGCTAGTTAGTACCCAGCTGCATTAAATCACTACTGACCGAATCCAGACTGGGTTGGAGTGAGCTCCCAACCATTAATAGTCTAGCTTGCTGTTGACCCATGTAGCCCGAAAGACAGTTGCATTGGTCAAGTAGGAAATGTAGGTACTGCTTTATGCGGGGAGGGTAATTTAAGTAATTTACGACACCATAAAGCCTTCCAGAAGTGTGTGTAAGAATGAGGAAGTACTCCATCAAATCCAGACCAGGTTGGAGTGAGCTCCCGACCATTAATAGTCTAACTTGCTGTTGACCCATGTAGCCTGAAAGACAGTTGCATTGCTCAAATAGTAAATTTAGGTACCGCTTTATGCAGGGAGAGTAATTTAAGTAATTTACAACATCATAAAACCTTCCAGAAGCATGCGTAAGAATGAGGAAGTACTCCATCAAATCCAGACTAGGTTGGAGTGAGCTCCCAACCATTAATAGTCTAGCTTGCTGTTGACCCATGTAGCCCGAAAGACAGTTGCATTGGTCAAGTAGGAAATGTAGGTACTGCTTTATGCGGGGAGGGTAATTTAAGTAATTTACGACACCATAAAGCCTTCCAGAAGTGTGTGTAAGAATGAGGAAGTACTCCATCAAATCCAGACCAGGTTGGAGTGAGCTCCCGATCATTAATAATCTAGCTTGCTGTTGACCAATGCAGCCCAAAAGACAGTTGCATCTATCAAGTAGAAAATTTAGGTACCGCTTTATGCAGGGAGGGTCATTTAAGTAATTTATGACGCCATAAAACCTTCCAGCAGCATGCGTAAGAATGAGGAAGTACTCCATCAAGGACTCGGTGTCTCAAGTGGATAGTAAAGCGGTAGCTCCTCCTGTGGCCGGAATCGAGCATACCCTCATGAAGCCGGAAAGCTAGAATGTTAAATTGCCTCTGTGTCTTTCTATATATGTTGTATGTCTAACTGGCATTGAATGTTTGCAGTGTATATGCTCATTGTAATCCGTCCTGAGTCCCCTGCGGGGTGAGAAGGGTGAAATATAAATACTGTAAATAAATAAATAATAGAGTTGGAAGAGATCACATGGGTCATCTAGTCCAACCCCCTGCAGTGCAGTAAAAGCACAATCAAATGCAGATTAGTAAATTCAGGATACGTGTAGTTTCTGATAGCTGGAGAGTAACTATTAAAAATAGGCCTATACTGTACCTAAACTCTGTATTGACTTGATATTAATAATACAGTAATTAGAACCATGTAAACACAGTTTAGGTATATTATAAAAGCAGCTTTGTGAAGGCAGCATGCAATTTTACTTTATTTTTAATATTTTGCTAGTTGCTTGAAGGTTTTGGTTGCTTGACTTCCAGTTAATTGAGACTCTATTCTATTGGCGTAGAATGTGGTACTATGAAGAACAGTGGGCCCTTGATATCTTTGAAGGTTTGGTTCCAGGGCCTCCTGTGGAAACCAAAATCCATGGATATTCAAGTCCCATTACATATGATGGCATAATAAAATGCATTTATTTTGTATCAAATGCATTGCATATATAAGTATGAAACTGATAAAATTCTCAAGCAGCTAGTACCTGATTTACCCCTGTAATCCTGTTTATATCTAGCTGAAGAAATTGTGTTGTCAGCCAAGGACTGGTCCCCTTAGGCACATTGGTGCTTTCCTCTCTCTAAAGAATGACCCACAACTTATCTATGGATTATATAAAAATCCATAATTTTGGCCCCAAAACTTGCCCTTGACTTACACATGAGTATATACTGTGCTTGGAAATAATGTGGCCGAGGTTGACATGGCCTGTATTGCTAATACTTTGGAAATGGAAGTAGGATATGGGAAATAGATTAATTCTACAAGGACTTTGTTTTATAAAATGAAAATTGTTTTTCAGATTGGTGCCTATGATCAGCAAATATGGGAAAAATCTATAGAACAGACGGAGATGAAGGTACTTTCCTTTTTCAGATTGTCTGGATAAACACATTGGTCCTCCTCTTTCTTGTTGGGTTTGTAAAATGACAAAGCTAATATGTTTTACGTTGAAAAATGGAATTGCACCTGAGATCCAAACAGATACTACGCTTGATGTGATATTTCCATACTGATAGTTGCACTGATCTGATCCAAGGGTTCTTAACAATGTGAGAAGTTCTGTTTCACACATCGCCTGTCTATTTACCTTAACAGGAATGAGCAAGGAACACCCTCATTGTCATAAATTGGGAAGGCTGTGTTTGCTTGGGAACTTTGATGCAGAAAGATTTGGTAGATCTCTGGACTGAAATGTGTTATGAGAAATTTAAAGTTGTGTTGGAAGTAGTTTTGGGCAGCCTTAAATACAACTAATCGGGGAAAGATATAAAAGAACTCACTGTGACAAAGGTTAACAGGGAAAAAAAGTTTCTTAAACTGCTACTGTTGGATATTCTGTGAAGAATGGTATGCAGATTGTATTTACTTTTCAGTGTTTGTAAATGACTCATGAAATGGGAAGACTTCTGTAGCCAAATGATTTCCTGTTGGACTGCCTCCATTGGTATATTGACACTCTGTCAGATAACCCTTTTTGTAAGTTTAGTGAATCATTGTAAGATCAGTTTTACTACTTCAATTGGAAAGCTGGTTTACTGGAAAGCTTTAATTGTAATCCATTAGTAAGCAGCTGTCATGCTATACATTAAAATAGTGGTCATCTGAAAAGGCCAATAAAATTATACGTATTATATTTGACTTGCTTCTATGAGTGACCAACAGTTGCTCCTTGGGTCATAAAATCCAAATGGGATGTAATAACGACATATCTTATGTGCCAGCAATTATTTGCTTACAAATTAAGCATATTTGTGAAGTATAAGCTGCTTTTATTTTTACAAATAAACTCCAAACAACTCTTGTAGGCATTTTATGGATAAAAGGTATCTTACAACTGAATGGAGGATATGCATTTTCTGCATTTCAAAGTGGCTAACAATAACTACAAAATAATGCTAATTAAAAACAATGCAAAGACGTTAGTGTGTGTGTATATGTATGTATGTGTGTGTGTATTATATATATATAAAATTAGAAAACAGTTAAATGATGTATAATATTAAGACAATGAAATCTTAAAATATAAAACTTTATAGATAACCAGATAAATGGTGGAAGGAGTTGTGGAAGGTAATGTGCTGTTGGCTGGCAACCAGAAAAGAGATATGACAAACTGGCTGGGGGAGAGGCTTATGACCCCCCCCCCCCATATGTAATGTTTTGGGGACTGTTTTTTCAGTCCCTGGAAAACAAGTAAAAAAATACACAGCACATTCACCCTTTCACCCCTCCTAGAGTAACAAAGTGTGATGTGAAATCACGTCAATTCTGATTTCAGTGTGGCAACTTTCTAGGGCTTCAAACTATCGGAAAAATGGACCCTGCTGCTGGATCAAGTGCTTGCACCCCTGAATTAGAGGAAACAGGAAATAGTGCTGTTTACTATCCCATTTCATGACTTTAGTGCTTTATCCATATTTCTTTGTGTCTATTTGTCTGTATTTTTCCTTGCATTTTATATTTCTATCTTAAATCCATCATTGAACTAGAAGGCATTTATTTGTGCAACAGAAGTCTCCCCTGCCCTGACACCCAAAAATATACTCCAGACAGTTTCTTGGTCCTCTAGACTCTAGCATTACTTTTAAACTGTGAGCCTCAGAATGGGGACCTCGTAACTTCATGTTGGGATCACAAAAAATTGACAGCATTAAAATCTGTTAGCAACAACATGCAGTGTTTATAGGTGATTCTGCAGAAAATGCTCCAGCTGTACTCCATGAAAAAGGTAATCATCCTGTTTAGCAAGCCTTGCAAATTTTGATTTATTTCTAGTAAATGTTTGACTATTACACCTATTTTACATACCCATATACTTAGATTCTCACAAACATTTCTCATTTTTAGAGGTTGTGAGTAAAACAAGTTTAAGAAGTCCTACTCTAGAGCACTGACAAAAACAGTGGTGTCAGTGGAATGAAAACATAGGGTGCCATTCCATAACGTAATGAAAACTTTTAAAAAGGCAAAAGAAGCCTAATGTCTGTTTAAAATCTCTTGGCTGTATACAGGCAGTCCCCAAGCTATGAACAAGAGAGGTTCTGTAGTTTTGTTCTTAAGTTGAATTTGTATGTAAGTCAGAACAGGTCCATTTTTAAAGTGTAACTCATATATATAAGCTTTGGATAATATAGGGAAATGTGAATGTGGTGTTTGTTTTGCTGTCTGTGCCCCTGTTCAGAAGATTTCACCTCACTTTCTGTCCATGTGATAATTAGATTTTGGAAAATTTGACTTGTTGTGGAAACAAGGATTGGGGATAAAGCTTCAGTGGATACATTTTCCCCCCATGATAACTCTTTCAAGAGTGAATTTCCCTTCCTAGGGATAGATTTCTCTCACTTCCTGTTGTCTCACCCCTATTCTTAACTACGAGTTGTTCGTAAGTTGGGTGTTTGCAACTTGGGGACTGCCTATGTTGCCTTTATGCTATGTTTATGGATTCTGAAAATACACACACACACAAATGAAAAATGCCCCCTGGCTCTGTCTAGCTATAGCCTAGGAATATGAATCAATAGTTGTAAACCATTATGCTTGTTCAGAAGAGCAGAACTGAAAGCTTGCAAGCTCACTGCCTATTATATTTACTACAAAACCTATTCATTTTCTGTTATTATATTTATAGGGATTTAAGAACAAACCCAAAAAGAAAGGTCACATCCAGCCTGATTTGATAGATGTTGATTTAATTAGAGGTAAGCACACCGTGAATGACAGTGTCTGAATTTGTTGGTGGTTCATATTTTTAAAGGGTGTTCTGGCTTATTGGGAAAAATAGAACAAATTTCTTATAATTCCTGCCAATGTTAATCATACATCCTCTCTAGGTTACACATTTGCTAAAGCTAAGCCTGAAATCCCTTGGACTTCCTTATAATTCCTGCCGATGTTAATCATACATCCTCTCTAGGTTCCACATTTGCTAAAGCTAAGCCTGAAATCCCTTGGACATCACTTACGAGGAAGGGCCTTGTTAGGGTTGTGTTCTTCCCCCTCTTCAGTCGATGGTGGATTCAAGTCACTTCTTGGCGCATTTTTACATGGCTGCTTATGCTCTACCTCTTACAAGGTGAGTTGGGATCAAAATTATATTTGGAAATGGTGGGGGTTATTGTAAATTAAGGGGTATTTGAACCTGGTAGAAAATTAACAGTTCAGGATCCCTATTTTTCCCCTGAGGCATGCTCTCCAACAGTTTCTTCATTTTTCACTTCCTATTTTCTTTCCTTCTTTTTAATATGATTTGTTTCATTTCATTTTTTGCCACTGAGAAAATTATTATTATTTTATTTATTTATTTATTTATTTATTTATTTATTTATAACACACTTTATCTCTCCTGCAGGGGACTCAAAGCAGCTTAACATAAAAGCATCAGCATACAATTTAAAATATACAAATATGCAAACATTAAAACAGGATTAAATATAAACAGGATTAAAAATTCCCCAGTTAAAAACCATTAAAATATATTCAAAGTTAAAAACTACAGCACCCCCTGACTTAATCTTAAAAACCTTCATCTTTAAAATCCTGTCAGAAGGATAACAGGGAGGGGGCCATTCTGGCTTCCCTGGGCAAGGTGTTCCAGAGTTGAGGGGCAGCCACCAAGAAGGCCCTCTCTCTTGTTCCTACCAATTCAGCTTGAGATGGAGGTGGGACCGAGAGTAGAGCCTTTCCTGAAGATCTCATGGCTTGGGCAGGTTCGTACAAGAGGTTGTAATTGGCCAAATAGGCTGGACCTGAACTATCTAGGACTTTGAAGGTCATCATCATCACTTTGAATTGTGCCTGAGCCATGGCATAATAGTTGCCACTGCGTAATAGTTGTACCCCCCCTTTTTTTTCACAAAAAAGGAGAAAGTGACTATTATGCAGTATATGTTTCCCAGCATTACCAAGGAGGAATTATATTCCATATTATTGAAATAAAATGTTACCTGCTAGACTACTGATATTTTTTTTATTTCGCAGTTGTAGCAATTGTGTTGTACTACATAATGCCGGTTGTGAGTACAAGTGAAATTATTGGACCATTGTGCCTTATGCTACTGATGGGAACTGTACACTGTCAAATAGTATCTACTCAGTTAACAAAGCCCTCGGGAATCAATGGGAGCAGTATTGGCCGAAGAAGGAGGTGAGAGAAAAATGTCGATAACCTTAAGGAAAAGCAGGGTGGATTTCTCTATATTTAGGTACTTGCTGAAACGTATGGCCATATATAACTTAAAAGTTAGCTTTAATGTAATCATAAAGTAAGAGTTGTGTCTAGATTTACTCTTTTAATGCTAATTCCCCCGAGACTCTTTCAAGATCAAAGAGTTCTTTCTTATATTTGTCATCACTTTTTGTTCTCTTGATTTTTTTTAATTTTTTTTTTACAAACTATGGTGACATTAATTCTTGCTGAGAGGTATCTGGTATTTGGCCAGTGAAACAATGACTGGTAAAATGTAAAGAGGAGCGTATTCCTGTGTATGTTTTGACCATTTAATTATATTTATATACTTCATTTGATTTTAAAGTTTAACATGTTGTGTATTTGTATGCTTTTATGTTTAATGTGGCATTGAATATGTATTGTCGAAGGAATTACTGGGTTGTTGTAGGTTTTTTTGGGCTATATGGCCATGTTCTGGAAGCATTCTCTCCTGACATTTCACCTGCATCTGTGGCAAGTATCCTCAGAGGTTGTGACGTCCTCACAACCTCTGAGGATGCCTGCTATAGATGCAGACGAACGTCAGGAGAGAATGCTTCTAGAGCATGGCCAAATAGCCTGAAAAACCTACAACAACCTTGGCATTGAATAATTGCCAAAACTGGAAGCCGCTCTGAGTCCTCTCTGAAGTGAGATAGAGCGGGGTAGAAATACAGTAAATAAATAAAGTCCTCTCCTTTCTTTATTACAAACAGTTTGGGCGATGGTAGGGAAAATCAAATTTGGTATTTTTTGGTCAAAGAGAGGTACCAAATTAGGGATCAAGTAGCATTGTCTCAGCTATATGGATCAACTGGTAAAAGGCCCCTTTTCATAATTACATATAAAAATCATATATGCTATTGTAGTCATAGACCTTACTCCTTCTCTGAAGACACACACAATTGCCTAGGTGTGGCTTAAAAATATTAACATACTGAATATTTCTTATGTAGGGCACGTTGGTATGTTTTGATATATGTGGTGTGTTCGATATATTGATGTTTTGATATATATGTTTTGTTGTAAGTTTATGCTGATGTATTTTGACTGTATTGTGCCCCATCTTGAGCTGTAAGGAGAGGCAGGTAAGAAATAAAATTAGTTGTTATTGTTGTTGCTGTTAATTGTTGTTGCTGTTATTGTGTGTCAAGGAATAGACTATGATGAACTGCCCATGCTTTATCAGGTAGTGATTTAGTTCTGATTTTTTTTCTTAATGTAGAAAAATGCGCAAATTTGCAGGAGGTGATGGGAGCTCTACTTCTTCTGTTGACAAAATCGTCAAAGAAGACGAGTCCCCAGAGTTTTCATCACGGATCAGCAGCTTCTTTGGCTCGGTGTTGCGCAGAAGGAGCAGGGAGGGGTATGGTTGGTAATTTTGATTGATTCGGGGGTTATAATTATAGGTTAACTACATATTATGCTATTGCACAAGATTGTCTCAAAGCAAAAGATTGCTAAGAATCTCTTGCATATTTCTAAACTCTTAACTTTTTCAGTCCTGTCTCACTTTTGAATTTTTCCCCAATCCCCCTTTCAAGTAGTTCAGGGCAGCAGAAATGTTTCCCCCTTTAATACTCACAGCAGCAACTCTGTGAAGCAGATTAGGCTCTGGCTGTGAAAGTTGCAAGGCCTACCAAGGAGTCTTATTACTGAGCAGAAAGTGAAATAGAATCATAGAATCAAAGAGTTGGAAGAGACCTCATGGGCCATCCAGTCCAACCCCATTCTGCCAAGAAGCAGGAATATTGCATTCAAATCACCCCTGACAGATGGCCATCCAGCCTCTGTTTAAAAGCTTCCAAAGAAGGAGCCTCCACCACATTCCGGGGCAAAGAGTTCCACTGCTGAACGGCTCTCATAGTCAGGAAGTTCTTCCTTATGTTCAGATGGAATCTCCTCTCTTGTAGTTTGAAGCCATTGTTCCACGTCCTAGTCTCCAGGGAAGCAGAAAACAAGCTTGCTCCCTCCTCCCTGTGC